TCTTAATCATTTATTCACAGTGCACGCAGATTGCCCGCTCGAGGACATCGCGTGCGTGCTCCTCGCCCAAACAAACAACGCATAGATCGTGTGAATCATCGGGTGTCAGAAACCGCTGACACGGATGTACACACTTTCTAAACGCTCCGCTAGTACTCGCCATAGTAGGAAAAAAAATACTCTTACTTTGCTTTTGGAATGCACGCTTCAAACAGAACGGTCAGTGAAGACGAAGAAAGTGGTGATGTGCGCTACCGAAGCCTATTTTATACTAGTTGCGACGGTAGTGACGTCATGGCTGTCGCCGGCCAAACAAGTTGGTGTTTTTTCAATGTAGGCTTCAGACACAGGTCACGACGAGGCGTTCCCCATAGCGACCCCTAGAGGACGCAGTTCGAAGTTCCACGAAAGGGAACACCTGTGGCGACTTTTAACAACAGTCAGCCATGTTTTCTGTTTATCTTTATGAATAGAAATACCCTGCTGTCCATATATGGTAATGGAAGGGCGGATATCCTAGTATGGAATCAATCATATGATGCATATCACTCTTCTTCACTGGTAGGAAGGAACAGCTTAAGCATGGCCTACAGCTGTGTGTTATGGCTATTTGTTTGTCCAAGACATAGGCTAATCAATATTTGTCAGTCGGATGCTGTTCGACATGCAGAAAAACAGAATGATACTGGCAGCAATCCTCATTAACTTAAAGCAGCACTATGTAACTTTTTCTCTGTTCAAAATCTGCAAAATTTATATAATGAGCGAGTACATCATGAATTAATTTTCCAAACCGAGTTTTTGTCTTATTCCGAATCACTACAGTACACTTATAATAAGTACTTATATTTGGACTATTGTAGCCTGGTCGGGTCGTCACCGCTGCGGAGTAACACATACCTGCATGAATCGCCATAGACATAAACTTAGAGAAGTAGCTCCGGTTGAAATGTTCTTCCGCGGGATGTGTGCAGTTCTGTTTATTAACCGCTATAGTGCCAAAAGTTACATAATGCTGCTTTAAGTGAATGAAATGTAATAATCAGCAATATGCATTGTAGGATATCAGACCGAATCAGACAATCTAAGATTTGGTCAAACATGGTTGAAACATTAGGAGCACAAAAATTCCACAGAGGCCCAAGACAACAGGATGTCATAAATCAGACCCGAGCATTAGCCAGTCTGAAGCAAGCCTAAACCCCTCTGTCACAGAACAGTTTTCAACATTAACACAAAAGAACACATTGACAATTCCAAGGAGATTGTCAATTTTGGGGCAAGTTATCAAGAATAATGGTCAAAAGAGATGCACAGCGTGACCGCCACATGGAAACATGTGATAGTGATCGCAAGCTCTACGGATTGACTTCTCCCCCCACCTCAATCTGGCCGTCTCAGTGATCAGCGGTAAAACAGTGATTCTGTCCTAATTCCCTTACATATTAATGGTGGAGTTCCCTTTAAAATCTTAAATGATTCCCTTTGAGCTAAATTGACCTGTTTCCCTTACAGCATTCACTCGCATGGCTTTATTGATAACACTTTAGTATAGGGACCAATTCTCACTATTAACTAGCTGCTTATTAGCATGCATATTATTAACATACCAGCTATATATTAGTACATATAAAGCACATATTCTGCATGGCCATATTCTACATCCCTAATCCTACCCAATACCTAAATTCAACAACTACTTTACTATCTATCACTAAGCAGCACATTTTTATTGTTTTTATTGTAAACAAGTTTATTTAGGCAAAATTTTGTGAGAATTGAACCTTAAAATAATGTGTGACTGCTTTATTTGAATGTTTCGGCATGACATACCATGACAGCGAGTTTTAGAAATATGTGTGACAACCTTGAGGCAACAGAAGGACTGGATTAGGAAAGACGCATCCTCACTAGGATGTGTCCTTCCGTTTGAGAAGCACCCCAATGATTAGCTCTATTGAACTGACAAGGCAATGAATAGAAGTTGATTCCCTTTGATGGAGTCAATTCCATCCTTTGGAATCGATTCTCGATTCCTAACGTGCCGGAATGGATTCTTTTTGGAAACAATTCCCAGCTCTAACAGTGCGTTTGCGCATCATAAATGAACAGTTCCACTCTAAATGCACATCTGGTCAGCATAATTTAATGGGATATGCACCAGAATTATGACTAATTCTCTAAAGTATGTGACGTAAACAGAAAAATCGATCAATCTAAATATGGATTAAAAGCCGTAATGGAACACTAGACATTACATATTTACCAGAATGAACAGGTTAGTACTGTCCAGCTTTGATTTGGCATGTTCTGATGCATACACTAGACTCAAACTGATATATTAGTGTCATTGAATTATATTTATCAAACAACACTGGTCAGATCTTGAAGTGGAAGTCTTATACCTTGATATACTGTATAGTATGTTTATTTATGACAGTTGAGTTTGCAATACATGTACAAATAGACCTCAGGCCATGCGTGGGGATCATTCTGCACCAACAGGGGTGGTGCTACAATCATTTTGTGCCTTAGAAAGCCATCCAATAGGAGATATTGGTTGAGGAAAGGTCAATGCGTGGTGCTTTCGAACAAAGTGCACTGAGGCGCAGATTGTGAGGGAAGATGATTTCACATCCCTGAAGTATCTCTGTTTGTATTGGTGTGTGGGTGTGATTGTGTTTATCTGTCCTTTTTGAGATGCACAGTGTAGGAGGCTACAAGACCAAAGAAGGTTATTGTTTTGTTTAGCTTTTGTTTTTGTCAAGCACTGGTTTTGCACGTACTGTTTTTTCAAATACTGGTTTTGCAATTGCAAGATATAAAGTCACAATTTTTAGAAAAAAGTCTGAATTGTGAGATAAAAAGTCACAATGATCTTTTTTACATTTTTTGTTCCGCGGTAGAAATAAGCTTCCATAGCTTTTAGCCAAAACATCTGTGTTTCTTTTTGTTTTTTTTTACTTCACTAAACATTTTAAAAAGGACATTAATAGCGCAAACCTTTAAAAAAAGAAAAAAATCACAGAAATGTCATTGAAATTATCCATTGTAATGAAATTCATACATTTTAAGTGTGATTTGAGTTTTAAATTCTTTTTGGAGCCACTATATATACAGTACAAACTTGATATCATGGTGCCTGACCTTAGTTAAACCTCATTTGTTTTTTGTTTTGGTTAAGTTTTTTTCCAGATATTTTTAATATTGTTTATCAAAATCCTGCATGACCAATCAGTTTTCCATTTTAAATCTGAACGAATGTTCTCTCTCTGCCGTCTGGCCTCCTGACAAAAGGGGCAGGTTTCTGTGAGGCTGGATAAATAAAACCCTTACGCTGTAGCTATATGCTATGGTCAAAGAGCCCTTTTCCCAAGTCCAGCACTTCACCTGCTGAAAAGAGATATGCGTTCTTATGAGTGCAGCGCCACAGTTAAAGGGATTTGAGCTGCTTTCATTAATGCTCCATCACTGAGCAGGAGAAGCTTTTAGAGCCAGCTTGGGTTTATCTCGCTGATTGAATCATTCTTTGAATGTGGAAACGCTCAGCTAGGAGAAAAACCTGAGGTGCCATCTTTCCATGCTTCTTTCTCTTCAGCTCTCTTTACCTTGGTTTTGCTCTCTCTTTCTCTCTCTCTCTCTCTCACACACACCACACCATTTTTCAAACCGAAGATTTTATCAGTCTGGTTTTCTCGCAACCAGAGCAATAAAACAGACAAACCCTCCCTCTCGTCGGTTTAGATTTCTACTCCAAGGTGCAAATGTATCATAGTCAGTGAACTTTAAAGAACTCAGAATTAAACTTCATACGTGGGGCCCATTTATCAAAGCAGCCTACATTTGTTATTGACTTGTAGGCCCTTGCAGGCCTTTTCAAAGTTTTCAGAAACAAATTGACCAATCACACAAACCAGAAAACACATTTTTAAAGCTAAAATTATAAAAAATGTTTTTGAAAGATGTTTTTCAAAGTAATCCTTCACAAATCATTCTAATATGCTGATTTGGTGCTCAAGAAACATTTCTTATTTTTATGTTATGTGGATTTTTTTCAAAAGTGTTTTTATTTGAAATCTGTTTTTAAATCTATTTTTCAGTAAAGACATTTAATTAAAAATGTCTTTACTGTCACTTTTGATGAATTTAGTCATTTAATGTGACCTTTCTGTAAATTGTTCTTAATTATAATATAAATGGCATATATTACATTTAAATTACATTCAAACCATTTGAGTAATTGAATAAATTGGGAATGCATGGCTAAAATGGCTTTTAGTGCCCAAATACTTATTTTCTTTAATGGAACCCACTGACTGCTTTTCTGATCGATACTTTGAGAAATGAATATCATTAATTAATAACATTAACTTTTTAATAAATTTACTCTGTAGGGGTTGTTGTTATTTTTCTTGAACTTAACATTTAGCAGATGGATTTCATCCAAAGCAGCATACAGTACACTAATTGCAGAGACAATCCCCTAGGTGTACTTTAGGGTTAAGTGCTTTGCCTATGGACACAATGGTAACAGAGTGTGATTGTTTTCTCATTAATGCTCCCATTTCTTTGGACACCTGGGATTGTACCTCTAGCCCTTGTGCTTGCTGTACAGATCCTTAACCATTACACCACTGCCCATTTCTACTGCATTACCCAGTGCATTATCAATGTAAGTGTAATTAAAAGACACTTTGCTGGAGCTGTGGCGCAGCGGTAGCGCATCAAAGTTATGTCTGTGTTGCGATGTGCTTGTCATAGTATATTTATGCGCAAAGTGCATCTGCTTACACTGAAGTGAACTCAGAAACCCTGCAGGAAAGAGCTGCTGAGGGAATATGACAGTATATCAATCATTTGTCACCACCAGTGAGATTTACCTGTTATTTTAAACCTGAGAAGTTCCACTCTCCCATTTAATCCAGTGTGTGGAAAGGTGTTATAACCCCAGAGATTATACAGCAGATTTGAACACTTTCATGGCCATTGGATTAACCTACCTGAGTCCATGAAGTCATTGTTGAGGTTGATCCAGGACTCTTTGCTCTTACGTAGACTCTCCTCCATGGCTTTGATATCTGCGAAGGGGCAGTTACAATCAGGGAACTTTGCAGAGCAGCGGCACCAACAGTCATTGTTGCGGCACAGAAGCTCGCCCTCTGAATTACATGCCACATAACTGAGGGCCGCCTCCACAAAACGATTCCGCAGAAACTCAGGAAGCACATCCTGTAGACCTGTGCATGTGGGAAGAGAGAAAAATCAGTTTACTGCCATGTTAGACTCTGTGAACTAAACTGAAATCTGATTCTAAGACCAGATAAGAGATTTTGTAAGCTACATAGCACTGTTTGTCTGCTGCTAGGTTGGTAAACAAGTTCAGAATGGTGTTTGGATGTGCTAATATGTTTGGCCAACATCTCAAATCCCCAATAGGTCTGAGATTCCCGTATGGACGGTTGAAAAAAATCAATTTCTGAGTCATATGACACCATTATGAACCCACCCATCATCTGCCCTCTGGCTATCCTCTCCTCTCTCAGCACTCTGTCTGTCTCTCTACCCACTTAACTCTCAATGTAAAATGTTTTCTATTTTAAGTATCCATTTAGAACAATACAGTAATGCAGTGGCATGAGGTGGACCTCTGAAATGACAAGGGAAAGTGGAATTTTTGCATGGTAAATTGGTAATTCAGTGGTAAATTGGAATATACCACTGCTCAAAAGTTCAGAATTGGTTAGATTTTTTAAATAATGGTTTTGTATTTTTATATATTTTGAAATGTAATTTATTCCTGTGATGGCAAAGCTGAATCAACAAGCCACTAACACTATAATATTTAATATATTCATATTTAATATTTACTATAATGTTTATATTACTTTTTCATTAAACCTACCAGCAACATATGCATAACACAAAAAACTATGTATATAATTTGTGTAGCTTTTATTTATTACTGTGTGTGGGTGTGTGTATATATATATATATATATATATATATATATATATATATATATATATCGACAGATCTACTTCAGGTATCATGATATCATGAAGTACATGGAGGTGCATCTTTAATCTTTAATTTAACTAATTTCATAACAGACGCACTAAACAGTTCAACATTTCAAAGTTCAAGCTGCAGTGTAATTTCAGGTGCATTTTAATTAAGACTTGACTTTAGGTGGTGAACCAGATGTAGACTGTTTGTGAACGTGATACTGTATGTGTGTGTATTATCACACTCAGGGCTTTTTCTTTATTTATTTCTGTCTAAAAAAACTTTTAAAACCTTTGCTTCCCAGACTGTTAAAAACACCACTGCAATAAAGACACATTACTATTGATTCATAGTCCCGATTTGGCTTGGCAATACAGGACAGGCTGCGTTGAGAAACAGACAGGATTTAAAGTGGGTCAGAGAGGCAGGCAGCCTGACTGCTCTAACAGCATCAGTGATGGGAGTCCTATTTGGGACGGTGAGGTCTGCTATGTCAGCGCAGTAATGGGGTAATGGGATGAATAAAGACCAACAATCTCCGTGGCAAGGTCATTCGGCCGTAAAATATATATATATCGACAGATCTACTTCAGGTATCATGAGGGTCATAAGTACATGGAGGTGCATCTTTAATCTTTAATTTAACTAATTTCATAACAGACGCACTAAACAGTTCAACATTTCAAAGTTCAAGCTGCAGTGTAATTTCAGGTGCATTTTAATTAAGACTTGACTTTAGGTGGTGAACCAGATGTAGACTGTTTGTGAACGTGATACTGTATGTGTGTGTATTATCACACTCAGGGCTTTTTCTTTATTTATTTCTGTCTAAAAAAACTTTTAAAACCTTTGCTTCCCAGACTGTTAAAAACACCACTGCAATAAAGACACATTACTATTGATTCATAGTCCCGATTTGGCTTGGCAATACAGGACAGGCTGCGTTGAGAAACAGACAGGATTTAAAGTGGGTCAGAGAGGCAGGCAGCCTGACTGCTCTAACAGCATCAGTGATGGGAGTCCTATTTGGGACGGTGAGGTCTGCTATGTCAGCGCAGTAATGGGGTAATGGGATGAATAAAGACCAACAATCTCCGTGGCAAGGTCATTCGGCCGTAAACCTCTGTCATGAACTGCAGGCACGCTACAGACAGGGAATCAATGCGGCTATTGTGGAATTCTCCTGCCTGATTAGATATTTTGATAGCAGGCAAAAGAAGAATTTACATTTGCCCAGAAAACAAATTATCAATTATTTGAGAAATTGTAACAAAGCGGTAACAAGATGGAACAGTTGTAAACAGGGTCAAAATTTTATTTTTTTTGCCACACTTGCCAATGGCAGGTGAACTTATCAGTAAAAAAGTCATATTTTTATTTTTCATGAATCTGTATTTTGAATTTGCCTTAAAAAAGTAATAATTCTATCATATCTATCTTATATAATGTACAGTGCAAAATAATTGTAAGATTTTTAAGTGTTTTTGAAAAAAGATTCATTTATTTGATAAAAAAATACTGTAAAAACAGTAATATTCTGAATTAATATTACAAGTTAAAATAGCTGTTTTCCATTTTAATATACAAATATAATTTATTTCTGTGATGACAAAGCTAAAATTTTAACAGCCATTACTCCAGTTTTCAGTGTCACATGATGCTAATATCATTTTAATATGCTGATTTGGTCCTTAAGAAACATTTCTTATTACTTTCATCAATGATGAAACCTGTTGTGCTCCTTAATATTCTTGTGGAAACTTTTTTCAGAATTATTTAATGAATAGAAGGTTTAAAAGAACAGTATTTCTCAGAAATTGTTTTTATAACAATGTAAATGTCCATACTTGCACATTTAATCAGTTTAATGCATACTTGTCTAAGATAATGAATTTCTTACAGAAAAAAAAACATTTTAAATGATAATGGTTGCAATTTCTAATAAAGTTCCCAGCCAAACTTGATAATAACATGTAAAAAAAAATCCACACAAACAATTTGGAGAGCAGAACCCCCTCTATTAATTTTTTTTAGATGTGATCTCCTAAGGCCTCCTCATCAATACTCACCTATGAATTACTCATGAAAGCATTCAGTGCTGAATACATGAATCCACAAGCCGTTCCACCACGTGAAAGATTCAGATTTCACAGCCCAGCTGTGGGTGCTGAACACCTGCTAATTATATTATCTGAGAAAACGCTCTTCACAGCTTTACCAGGTCTGACATCCTCCAAGAAAGAATCAATGCCTTTTGCCTTCATATTCAGCCTTTTTGAGTTCCCTTCCCAGTGTGAATATTTATGATGTGTTCCTCAGTATTTATTCGTCGGATTGTGAAAAACAAGAGACGTAATTAGATGCAGTCTTCGTCTTAAGCTTTGGCTTCTGCTGGGTAGAGAGCCAACAGTGTGGGGAGCCTCACAAAAGAGACCGACTTGGATGGCTTTCATACCGGAGACTGCTGAATAGCTGCTCTTGTGCCCCCTCCTCCACAGTCTTTTTAAAGCGAACGAGAGGAATCTTTCCTGTGGATTATTTCAGTCCTCTATGGTATTGACGGCTTGATGTCCTAATTTTAAAGGGTCTACATTCTACTCTCTAAAAGGACATGGCACTTTGATTGAAAATATTCAGGGAAGCCCCAAGAAGTGAATGAAAGAATGCAGAAAGAACCGATACAAACATGCACAAATATAGGCCAAACTCCTCTCTCTCCAACTGTTTCCCCCTTACATTTTCTTCCCCAAGTACTCAGCAAAAGATAAGCTTTGGTGCCGAACCCTATGGCTAGCTCATTAAAGTAGTTACACGAATCTGTGCAGCAGGAAACTTGCTTCAGGAGATGGCAGTATTAAGTGGGTTGATCATTTAAATGTCAATGTCAAGAAGGCAGTGGAAATTGGCGCAGGCCACATGTATAATTAGCAACGGCTAGAGGCTTAAAAACCTTCCTTTTTGCTCCTTTCAGTCCTGTTTCTTTCTCTCTTCTTTTTGTTGTTCCGACCACCTCTGACTTGTGGTGACACTGCTGTCACGAGAGTGTGAGGTGCATTAATGCAAGTCTAATTGCCTGTATTTTGATAACTCTTCACTTGCTTGTTGAAAATGTGAAGACAAGTGATGCGTTTCTCAGGTCTGTCGCAGCCAGACTTTTGACTTGGTCTGCATTGCAACGTATTCTGGTCAAGAACTGCCCACAGGAAATTTGACTGACATATAAATATACCAATTAAGGTTTGAGGTAACACGCTACAATAAGTAAAGTAATTAGTTAACATTAGCAAACTACATTATTTAACATGAACTAAAGTTGTATGTTTTAATATTAGTTAATGGAGCTGAGCTAACATGGACAATCCGTGTATCATTCGATCATTCGTTTTTTGATTTAATATTGAAAGTAGAAAAATGAGAAAATAGCTCCTCTTTCAAAAAACGAAAAATGAGAATTCAGCTTAAATTTTCGTTTTTCGTTCATGGGTGGACAAATTAATAAACAGCTTGAATATTCGATTTCTACACGTGGGCGGGAATTGAACGCCCCTTTCTGCTGATTGGTCAGCCGAAGGTCAAACCTGAACCATGCCATCATCAGTTGTTCTGCAGTATCACGCAGCAGAATAATAGTCCTCCACTGCTGCAGTTGTATGGACTAATAACCCATGTTATCAATTTCAAATTTTTCTCATCAAACAGACTAATGAATAGCTCGACACAACTCGTACTGGGGCAGAGTCTAGACAGGTCTTTTTTCTGTGTAGACCAGCAGTTCTTAAAGTGATAGGGGGTCCGAGAAATAATTTGCTATAGCCTAAAGTATTTCCAGACTGTAAAGTCGCTTTTTTTTATCATGATACATAGGCCTACTGTGATTTATTCCAAAGTGAATTATATGATGCATTTAACGCTTATATGAAGCCTTTTAAAAGACAAGTATTCGCTGTGGTTGATGTTTGTGGCATGCGCCAGAAAGATGCTCGAGGAGACCGAGACGCGCTAAAGCTGCGCATTCTGTTGTTCTCTTTATTTTTCAAAGGCATGACATTTTGTAGTTATTTTGAACGTAACATTACACAATTAAAAATATAAATTTTACCATACGACTATAAATGACAGAGTAGCCTATTAAGTTATTTCCCCTCGATGGGGAAAAAATCCAAGTGAACATCAATCAGTACTCAATATTAATTTAAACTGCTTTAAATATGACTGTTGCTTATTTCCTGTGCACTTCAATACTGGTCTGCGCTTGACTGTAGTCGCGTCTGTCTGTTTATTGAGTTTAATTAGGCTAACCCATCACAATTTATTGGAACTGTGTGAACTAGAGTGACTACTCACCTTAATGTTGTTCTCACAGCTCACGCTGCGCACAAGTGCATATCCTTTTGAGATATCAATTATAATCAATTTTAATAAAACACAAGACTACATTAATATAACTCTAACAGTAGGCTATTTAATATCTGTTGTTCTCCGGTTGTCAGTCAGAATGACAGTACTTGCGTGAACATAGGCTTATATAGGCTATACCCAAGCAAATGTATTATTCTTTTCTTTTTGTCTTAGTGTTTCAAATATTTATTTTGAAACAAATTAATTAATCAATTTCTTAAAAAAAAAAAAGACTTGAGGTGAGCAGGGTAGGCTAAGACAGCTGTCATATCATACCCTGCCATGCCCAGCTGATGCAATAAATATAATTTATATCTACACAGAAGAAAGCCCTGTCTAGACTCTGCCCCAGTATGAGTTCTGTCCAGCTATTCATTAGCCTGTTTGATTGATGAAAAAAGATTAAAAGTAGTTGCAATAAATGCATTAAGAATCCATTCAACTGCAGCAGCGGAGGACTATTATTCTGCTGCGTGATACTGTGGAAGAACTGATGAAGGCACGGTTCAGTGTTGAACTAATTTTCGGGGGAAGTTGCTAAAGGAAAGTCAAATTGTTGCTAAAAGTTGATAAATTACATTGTGATGTCATTGCACAATGACATTATTACATAATGATGATGCAAAATTACATAAAATCTCAGGAAACAAATATTTTATGTGTTAATTTAGATTTGTTCATAAAATAAAATAATGTAATATAATATTAAAATATAAATAACTGTATTTTTAAATACAACATTGAATTATTGAACATTTACACATTTTTTAACAATTACAATTTAAGTTTTTTTTATTAGCTAGTAAACTAGTAAAACTACACATTCTGAACAATTATAGTTTTAAGCAGTGTATTAGCAGTTAGTATAATAATAGGGCACAATCTATGTTAATATGAAGGAATTTTCCATATTGATTTTTCAGGGGGTTTTTTTACCTGCATTTTAAATTACGCATAGCATTTTGTGTTTTCGGGTTACAGGGTTACAATGGATAATGAATAATGGATAACGGATAATGTCCTGGAAAATAACTAGTACCTTTTCCATTTTTCTAGATATTTTTTTTACAGTGTACTAACTGATCAACAATCACAGGTACAAGCTACTAACAAGGTGTATCATAAATGAACAATTATTCAAATATTCAATTATTATTATTAAATTAAACAATTGCAAATAGCAATAACTTAATTCATGTGAATTGTGTAATGCTAGGCATCTTTGGTTTCCTTATTTTGTGTGATTTAGATGGAAAATGTGTGCCTTTTTATCGTTTGAGTCACTTATCAAAAGTTGCTAAAAGTTGCCAAATAAATTTTTAAAACAGCAAAATTTGTTGCTAGGTGCTTTTGGAAGAAAAAGTTGCTAGGGTAGTGTGAAAAGTTGCTAAATTTAGCAA